CTGCAACGTAACGTTATCGTCCCGGGCTTAATTGTGTGCTAGCAGCAAGCGATTTCAGTTAAGCAATAAAGAAAAAGAAGAAACAAACCTTGTAAAAATAATAATAATAAAAAACCCGTTCTATTTCTTGCACTATGACCTGTTTTATTAAAGAGAATAATAACGTTTTTCTGGTCCTTACAAATAAAATAACCCCATACATCAGTGGCTTCCCCTTTGCCTGGCAATGCCTGTCTCTCCACGTCCTCCTCACGTGGGCATCGGTCTTCGTCAAACGCAGTCCAAACCCCCCATGTCAGATCTGCAGAACAGACCTGTTCCTTTGCAGCACAAGGTCTTCAATGTCCGTTTCCTTCTGCTTACATCAGAAAGAAAATATTGGAATGTCTTGTTTTTCTATAATTTGTAAATATAGATCCATCCATCCTGTCTGTAAAATCTCTTTGTTGTTCTAAAGTATTCTATGTATTTATTTGCCTTTTTTTCAAAGCAAAAAAGAAAACCCCAACATCTTTGAGTTAAACCACTTTTTTTTTTTTTTACAATAAGAAATGTATATCTGAAGCTGTAAAAATAACAGTTTGAAGCAAGAAGATTTATGGACTACAGAAACGTTTAATATAAGGACTTATAAACCGACTGCATGAGAGATTGAAAAAGGCCAAACTACTCAGACGTCATTTTTTTTGAATCACTGTAAAAAGAAAAGACTGGATTTTTTTGTATAGAGAACACTAAACATATAATAAAACCTTGTTCAAAACTCATGCCAAGCCTGTGATTGCTTCCCTGCCCAAAGCAGGGCCCAGCGAACGCCGGCCACGTCCCATCCCGAGCTGCTTTTTGCAGCTTTCCCGGGCGCTCGAGTGCTCTTAGCGGAGGCTCCCTGGAGCGGAGCCCTGCCGAGAAGGGGCTGCGGGAAGGGGGGCGGCAAGCGGGAAATAAAGAGCCTATTTGGCTAATGAAGATGGAACCGCTGCAGACCTCGCTAATAGGATGAACGTATTAGCGCTTCCGACGGGGGCTCAACCTGCCCTCCCCGGGGCGCCGGCGCCGCAGCCTGGACGGCACCGTGTAAAGGAGCGGTTATTGCCGGCCCAGCCCGGTGGGATTCGGAGGATGCGGAAGGAATCGGGAAGATTCGAGTGCTCTAGAGCATTAAACTCGGCCTCCAAACCCACTGCCCGCAGGCTGGAGAGGCAGGAACCCTCCTACCCATGGGGGATGAGGGCTCAG